AAAGTGTTTGTCTTCAGGAAATCATTAAATGTTCCGCCATTGTGTAGTAGGTGAAGATTTTGACTTCATTTTATAGGGCTGTGGAATATTTGTCAGGAGCTTCAAAATGATGTGTCACAAGACCACCCTTTCCATTTAATTTTTTCCCAGATGGCGCCCAGTCGCCATTTCGAAAGTTTCATCTATCAATTTCACTTCAAAATGAAGTATTCATACATTAATTTCATTAAACCAAATTTCAATTTTTTGAGTTGACCCGTTCAAAAGATAAAAGGGAAGGACATTAAAGAAATGCAATGTATGTTAATTATATGGAATAATTCATGAAAACGAAATGATGAGTCATCTTCTTGTTGGTCGTTAGAAAAAATTGAATGTGTGCGGTTATTGAATTCAAGAGATTCCAGTCGGTTTGATAATTGTCTTTTTTTTTCTGTATGTAATATGTCTAGTCCATGTTAACATAGTGGTCGTTCTCTAAAAGGTGACAAGCATAAGTGGAATTGATTTTCTTTGAATCAAAACTTCCAAGTTGAAAAATTCTCGTTTTAAAATTGTTTAAAGTTCTTCCTACATTAACTTTCGAGTATGACTTGTTCATATGTCTACCCAAAGAGTTAACAGTCTTGTATGCCTTCTTCAATGTTTTCTCTTGTCTCTTCATTTCATCTGATGATTTTTCTGTATAGGTGAGTGATTTGTGTCTGTTAGTGTTTTTTTCGATGTGGGGGTATGATATTTGAATTTATATAACAACAAAGAAGGCCTCGTAATGGGTAAGTTCGAAAAAACTATTAAGTATGATCCGATTATCCAAAAATGTCAACATATGTTGACGATGTTATAACCTACAAATTAGAGTCATTTCTTCTATACATTTACTCTACTCACGAAAAATAAAATTCATAATAGAACTAGAAATCAATGATTCGATTAACTTTATGGAAGGGTATATACCCCGAAAACAGTAAGAAGTATTGAAAAAAAACTCTTTTTCCAATGAATACCTCGAAGTTTTCTGCTGAGTTGTAAAAATCCAACAGAAAATCCACCAGCACTCTCTCCTGCAATAGTAATCCTTTTGATGTCTCCACCAAACAAGTGAATATTCCGAAGAACCCATTCATATGCCAGAACTGTATCTTTCAGTCCTAAGTTAGCAGGTATTACATCATCTGCCGTTGTAAGAAATCCTAAAAAAATGCACATTAAAATTATTAATATCAAATGGTATTTCGATTGATTTAAGGGGTATATATTTCAAATTTCCACATGAAACCACTTTAGCTTGTCGCCTACTATATTCACATATCAAATTCGAAATATGCAACTTTCATTCAATATGTGAATCATAACATTTTCTACATTTTCTAGTAAATCAATACATTATCGGAGCCTCAGGTAATGAGCATGTTTGAGACGGTAATCTTAAAGTAATGATATTTTCAGTTATTGCAATAACGATGAAAATAAGTGTATTTTGGTTTTCTGTTTCTTAATACATTAGAAAAAGGAAGGAAAAATTAGGACGCAGTATGACTGCCCAAGTTAGTCTCAGAGTACTGTGTCCATAGATTTGCTTGCTGCATGGAAAATGATGCATAGTATTTCGAACTCTTGAATATAAAATATTAATTATTGTTTATTCCGTTTGAAAAATCAATTCTAATACAAATCGAGATATTAATGGATATTGATAAAAAATGAAAAATGTTGATTTTTTTAGACATAAATCTCTCTTGAAAGATGAAACGATAGCAGTTGATGAGAAAAGAATCCAATATTAGCATTGTTTCCATACACCAGAACTGCAACAGTGTTGTCAACGCAATTTTCACCAATCCCGCTGGCTCTCCTGATAACACCTACTTGATGCAACATGCTAAAAATAATGCTGAAGTTCTGGTGTGTGAAAGCAGCTTTTTTAATAGACCAGTCTTTCTATAAAATATATTTCTCATGAATTCAATAGGGGTTGAATACTCAAAATAAAACAATTGTCTATAAGAATTGATATCGAAACCGACGTTATAATGTAAGTGAATCAATTAAAAATTATTTTTCCACAGAAAAATGTCACTCGGATATCATTCAATGACCAGCGTGTTATTACTCGGAAAAGTACTACCTGGGCTGAAAAATATCGGACCTACCACATAGAGGGCGCTAGTCTCGTTGCATTCACTGCTTTTTCAGTTCGTACCAGGTTAGATTAGGTCCAAAGTGAGTGGGTCAATTCGACCCTCCACCGCAACCCGCAAGGGTTTATTTTGGCTCACAGGCTCACACCTACTTACACTCAACCAAATAAACCCAGCTTCTTAACGATGCCGATTAGTTTGTATGGTGAGTGGTCTTTCAGGTCAGATGGTAAGAATACGGCTCTGAAAACTTTAAAAACCTGATTTGTTCACCAGCGGGGCAGGCACAAAGTATGTGCTCTGCTGTTTCATCATTTNGTGACCAGAGAAATGAATGTTTCAAAATTTCTATTTCGAAATATTCATTTTGTAATACGTATATATCTTAATATTATTTGGAGATAGGTTTCTGTTTATTATTATTATATTAAGATAGCAAATCAAAACAAAAAATCTGGAATTTTTGGTGATGGTGTTCGTTGAGGGTTACTTTATAGGCGCATTCTATGTATACAATTAATCATCAACTTTCCGAAAATTAATGAAAATCTGAATTGAATTCGTATTAGAGCATGATTTTCAATTCTAAATAAAATATTGTTGCATTTTTAAGGTACTTTATTCAGACTATAGCTGGTTGGTTAGCAAATTATTGCATATGGTCCGATGCATTCTATTAATCGTATTTCCCTTCATGCTGAAGGGAAATACGTCGTTATTCCTCAGCTCACACAATTTTTGTCTTTAGAGGATTTTTTGAACCATTATAAAAAATATTTATATATTTTTTCCAAACGTCTATTATCGAACATACACTAACTTCTGGAGATATTCGAATTTTGATTAATGAAAAAACAGATATTCATATGACCAGAAAACAGTTTCCTTTTTATTCGATACACTGAGTCTTACTTTATCTAAATCGTTGATGAACTATATTACCACGCTCTATTAAGAGTTACTAGGATTTTCTGAAAACATGATGAATCTGCATTGATAAAAAAATACATTACCAAAGGGACCAAAACGATAATTCATTGTCACTACAATTATGCCAGCATCAATGAAAAATTTAGGATCCCAATACTGATATGCTCCAGAACCATAGAAATACCCACCAGCGTGTATCCAAAATAGTACAGGTAAAAGAACATTTCCTGTATTGTTGGGTCTCTGGAAAATATAATTATAACATGTTTGATATAATTCAGTAGCACAGAGTGCAATGATACGAAAATGGTAGGTAATATAAAGTCAGACCACTGGAACTTTACAATAACAATCACGAACTTTGTACCGATATAAAACTTTATAATCGATAGCGGACTAAAATTATTTCCTAACAGTGGAATTGTAGCCCGCTCCTTGACCAAGTGGATTTCCAGTGGGCTGCTGATTAATCTAATTATCCAAGAGACTAACCTGATGATGAGTATATAACATACGAAAATTGGATTAACCTCGATTATGAAAATGAAAGTCGCCATTCACCCTGAAATGTTAACGTAAATATACTGCAGTTTTCATCAGCCGGGTGGAGTGGCCAATAATAAGCACGCAAGTGTTTCAGCACTAGCCACTACCGTTCTATTTTTCGTCCATCTACTTCGGTAAACTTCAGCAAAATGAATAAATAAATTTTGACATATCAATCATAAATCGAGGCATTGGTTCCATTGGTGCCTTTTATCGCCACAGAAAAATCATTAATCTAATTCGGCTTCAACGGTAATATCAGAATAACTGAATAATGGATCTACTTAAGCGGCATTTATCGACGAGATGGATTTCAGAATTTAGTTGAGGCATCTCCAGAGATCGAGCTCCATCAAAAGCTTCATTTGAACTCAAGAGTGACGTTTTCGAGCAATCGTTGCATCAAGAGCTTGTTTGGAGTCTTTGTACTCACTCCATCTGAGGTTTCATTATGAACCTCAAAAAAATTCTCAAATTCCTGATTTGCGGAACTTGAAGTTGAATCTACTCCAAAACGAATGACACGAATATATCTTTCATCATTATTTTCAGAATACGTATCGATACAGGATGTTATNAAAAACCACAAATATCATCTTGATTTCTCGTTTGTTCGCTTCTTTCGACAAAGATTACGCATCTCCAGAATTTGCAGGTGCTCTACATAGGAGGAGAGTATTAAAATAGTAACAAAATTGCAAGTAAATAGAATGTATGTTAATAAATATTTTCCGGTACAACTCCTGAGATATACAAACGATAAACAAAAGTAAATATACGGTGCAATGACAAACTATTTTCTGACTTTCAAGCTGAAATATACCAAAAAATTGGAGAACATCTAAAATATTGTTTTTTTGTTTTTCCATTAACCAGCTGTCGCCCCCGACGAACGACAACCTTCAGATGTCGAAATTTGTGCGAGTTAAGGATTACCGACGTCTCACCTTTCACCGTGCGGTTCCTATCACAAGTTGGACCACTTAGCTAACCCTACCGTCCCGCCAATATCAATATCATTAATGTTTATTTTTGAGTTGCCTCTTGCTGTTATTCAGTACCAATTTGTTTATTACACTAACGTTATTTTCGTTTGTCATTTTTGCATATCACAGGTACATTTCAGGAGGAATACTAAAATACCGAATGTTGTTGTAATGAATTTAAAATAGGAGAAATCGTGATTTGAATCTGTTTTTAAAAATCTGTTTTTCTGTTAACCAGCTATCGCAACCCTACGAACGACAATCCTCAGAAGTCGAAACTTGTGAGAGCTAAGGATTAACGAGTTCTTACCTTTCAACGTGTAATTCCTAACACGGTTAATGTAAACATAGGTCAAATATATTGACAAAAATCTACTTGAAATTCAAAATGAAGGAATAATAGAACACTGGACGAGCTTCAACGGCTTGTAACTTCCTATATTATTTATTTATTACACTAACGTTATTTTCGTTTGTCGTTTTTGCATATCACAGGTACATTTCAGGAGGAATACTAAAATACCGAATGTTGTTGTAATGAATATAAAATAGGAGAAATCGTGATATGAATCTGTTTTTAAAAATACCAGCTATCGCAACCCTACGAACGACAACCCTCAGAAGTCGAAACTTGTGAGAGCTAAGGATTAACGCGTTCTTGCCTTTCAACGTGTGATTCCTAACATGGGTAATGTAAACATAGATCAAATATATTGACAAAAATCTACTTGAAATTCAAAATGAAGGAATAATAGAACACTGGACGAGCTTCAACGGCTTGTAACTTCCTATATTATTTCCACTTATGAGATAAAACTGAACTAATTATGTTTCGATCCCGCCTCATGAATAAATGAAGTGAAGAATAATCTCTGCCTAGACAGCTTTCAGCTATCGCAGATATCTCAGTCTCTGTTTGTGTTCCGAACGTATTAACATTTATTCAACAGGCGAAATGACATGATACTCAAGTGAAAGAAATCGTAGTAGAATCAATGGAGACATCTTCTTGGAGAGGAAATATTGGGAACCAAATCGTCGATTGGACGATATGAGAGACAAATGACTGACAGCGGTGCGAGGCGCAGGATGCGTAGCCCAGATAAGTGGAACAGCTCTTACCAGTAAATTGGAGGGAAGTATCTTTCTGCACAATTGTTAGCTACGAAGACACATACTCGTAGTTATATGGACGACGGAATCACCGAGAAAACTGTCACGTAGAACCGTAAGTACATTTATATTATCGGTGATGATAATATGACTTTGAGCTAAACTGAATGTCGGTGATGACATTTTACATTCGAAGTTGAATTTAGTGATATATGGTGTAATAACAAGTGATGGCAACACACTCAATTGAAAATACACCCCATTGTCTATAATGACATTGAACTAAATATATGTTGTTTTGATTGGCTTCCGGGTTTTGCTGTGGTTGGCCGGAAGCCAATGAAAACATTGATGCCAGCCGTGAAAGCCTACATTTCTTCATACATGTATGTTCTTTCACCTAACCCTAAACGAACAGATAAAATAAACTGAGGGACTAAATAGAGAAAATCACCTAGGATAGTTCGGGGGTCACCCGTGATTCCTCAATTACTCTAACCTGGTTTTTGCATGAACATTTTCCAGGAGGCTATAAACAAACCTAAATACTCAACAATAGCAACAGTACACCATCTAGTATCGAAGTGCGACATCCTGACAATTCTCGCATGAGCCTGGGCAGGAAGCGAGACGCCTTAGGCAGAGGACGAAATAAGGATCTGCTCTGAGCAGAGAGCCACCCGTCACCATGAGCGGGGGCATCTCCCATATCCTATCATGGGGCTATGTTGTGATTCGCGGACATCATTTCCAGTGGACATATTCCAGTGGAATATTCACTTTTTGGTGAAGAAGTGGAGAATGGAGACATTTTCCCTTCAAGTATTCAGGAGTACATCGATGTTTATATCTGCGATGTTTCATTTTGAACCAATTGATTTTCCTATATAAATGACTAATATGATTGTTCGTCTTTTCTCCAAATATTAAGAATATTGAATTTTTTGAATCCCACCTTCATCAAAACTGCTGAGAAAATTATCATAGAGTAAATCAGAAATTTTGACAATCAGAAATTTTGACACTCTTGGTTGACCTATTTGATTTGTGAGTTGAAGGCTGACATATGTTTTTTGTAATGAGACAGATATGTGTTTGGTGAATTTCGATTTATGTACACAACCACATTTTCAGTCCACAGCGGTTGATGTCAAAGCTGGGCTTCACAACTGGCAGCCTTGTGGAGCCTGATTTATCTATGGTATTAGGAGATTGAGTCTCATGTTTAACCTATAGATGGCATCCTAGTAGGGGTAGAGATGTCATCACCTTCATTTTAGGACAGTTGAGTGGTTTAGCACCACTGATGGTACCTTGGTTATTCAAACATGTGATCATGTGATCATGTTCAAGGGGAAGATTAAACTGATTAAAAAGATTAAACTTTTTCTTGAAGATAATTACTTGGTGATTGAAACACATGTCGAGGTGTTGAAATAACGGTTTGGAGTTGGCATGAAACTCCAGTAATATTCATTACTACACCGAACAATGCATCATAAGTGTGCTATCTGTTGTTTGTTGTCACAATTTCATTCACTTAATCAGATGCAAAATTTGTGAATCCGCTGCTTCAAATTATCGATATTGCTTGTTCCACGATGATTCCATTTCAAAAATCGGGGACCACAGAATTTTTCTACCATACTCTATTCATGAAGGTCTAGTTGTTTGGCCACATAAGTATAGTCGGGTTATTTTTGTACTCGTTGAATTTCTTGCTATTTCATTCATTATCATTTCATTCCCTCCTTTCAACTCGTTTCTGAAACGTTTTATTGAGCCGCTAAAAGTACTACCTCATATCGATCTCCTTTAACCTTCATATACTTCGCCTTTTTCGAAAACTAATGAACTCATTGTACGACCTTCCAGCATTGCTCTGAAAGTATATAGCAATCGAGCCAGGATATTTTTGATGCCAAAGTATTTCCATACTCAACTACCATGGAGTTTGTCCCGAATATCTTCGACCTGGGCTCTTGAAATAAATGCATGATGATTTGGACTTCTTCACTCGAGATCTATCGCGCTATCGCCGCCCTTTCTCGGTATTTATCGTTATCAAGAGGCTACTAAGCCTCTCGTCTCAAACTAATTTCACTTTACATTTCCTCTTTTTCTAGTGGTTTTCGTAGCTCACCTCTTTCTTCATTCAATTGATTTGCATTTTCAAAATATTCAAGGGATTTCATAGTTACTAGCCAAAATATTTACTATACACTCCTGGATCAATTTTTTTTTCTCTAGTACCACTTCCTACAGATACTTTACTCTTACTCTCCACTAGTACTTGACCTCCAGTATCATTTTACTCAGAAAATATAACTTAGTTTGGTTACTATCGCTGTCTTTTTTAGATGAAAACTATCTGCTTTTGTATTTCAAGCAGATTCAGCAGAATACTTTGAACCTCCTCCAGAATATTTCATCGTTGTTCTCAATAAACTATTAAAGACTCGTCCTCAACCGACTTCAAATGTTGGATCTTCGACAATACATTTCAATGTCCGAAAAAATAATAGAATATTAAGAGTCATTTGTTGAGGAACACAATTCTGATACAAGAATAATGAAAGAGACTGAAAGTTAAAATAGATCCTTCTCAAGTCTCCACTTACAATGACAATAGAAATTTCGTTTCATATATTCCAATAAGTATGATGCAGAATAAAATTCAAACCAACTTTTTTTCCGTATTATCCTCAACAATCAACAATTGGAAATAAGTTGTCGAATCGGTATAAGCTTCATTTCATTTCGCTGATCTGACAATGATGAATAAATTGGTAATGCCAGAAGTACTTACCACTGGAGTATAAACATTTAAAAAAAGACAGTCTTCGGACATTTCCATGGAATCGGGTATCTTAGTGTAAGCTATGTCATTGTTCTGCATACAAACTTTTTTATTAACAGTAGTGTTTAATATTCCATTCCAATCCTCAGCTTCTATGGGTTCCTGAGTGACGAATGTAAAACATAATGTAGTTGCAAAAAAACAAATGGAAAGATCAACTTTCCTTAATGTAGCAGATATTTGATAAAATACACAGAGCTTTCATGTTGAAAATAAAAGTCCAATGTCAAGAGAAATCCATTGTACAAAAGTTACTTAGAAAGTCGAAACACCCACCATGGTCGCATATATTAATCAAAACACTCTTCCCTCTTCAAATACTCACTTCATGAACTGAATAATGGGTTACAAATACAAATGGCTACTTCAGATATAGAACAAAAATGCGAATGTTTAACTCCATCTTGATACAAATAAAATGTGGAAATCTTCCAAAGAAAGGAAGGAAGTAATCAATTTTGAAATAAGTAACTCTATACATAAATATGTAATTGATTACTTCCTTCCTCTCTTTGGTAGATCCCCACATTTTTTTTGTATCAAGATGGAGTAGCAAAAAGCCAAAAATTCCAATAATTCTTAACCAAATNGGACAATACAATACTCACAATGTTGTTCAGTATCATACCTTGAATCTGTTATGACCAATAGGCGGTACTGCGTATGGAATTTCGTGAAAAGCATAGTAGTCTTTTCCCTTTCCACTTTTTAGCACATGACCACGAATTTTCCCTTTTTTCTTCCAGAGTTGAACGATAATATCATCCTGAAAAGTTGGAGTATTATATAGTAGGCTAGTACTGTAATACCAAAAAAAAGAATACATGAAAGATTTTTTTGCTGACTAGTTAGGAAATGAGTGAAACAATAGTTGGGAGTGCAGCAGGCCGAAACAGTATACTCTTATCAAACAGATTCCAGGCTTTCGAAAATCTTTATTATCATCATCGTCATCATTATCCTATTGTCATCAGTAGTATTCATATCACAGATTGTATCTTTCAGATATCTACATACCTTATTAGCAGTTTCATAAACTTAGTATGCAGAACATTCATTATGATAATTCGTCTCAGAAAATTCTAAAATTATTATATTATCTTAATCCATTTGTCACTAATTTACTCTATACATTTAAACTTTTATTCAGATGTCACATTAGTTTCAGAGTGTAATCATATCTAATTGATTAGAAGTTTCCATATATTACGTATCTCTACGCTAGCTTGGCTAAATTCGTTGTTGGACAACATGTATGCGGCTTCTTTGAATTTTTTCCTAAACCAGTGTTCCTTCTTGTGGATGATTTCAGCTTGAGCCCACTTGATGTTATGTTGATGAGTACAAACATGCTCTTCTATTCCTGATTTGCTGGTTTCTCCTGGTTCAGATACTGTCCCGTGTAAGTGGGTTTTCGGTGTACAGATGTTTTCCTTTTAGTGTCGGTCCTCTTCACCAATACGTCTAAGAATTGCAATTCGTTGTGGACTCCATTCTCAGACGTATTGGTGGAGAGGATTGACACAAAATGGACAACATCTGAATACCGAAAACCCCCTCACACGAGGCAGTATATGAGCCAGGAATTCAATCACCATCAATCGACTAAGAGAGGAATCATCAAGCCTCTAGTAGACCGTGCTTCCGGGCTCTGTGATACAAAGTAAGGTCTCGAAAAGGAACTAGGCATCATCAAAAATGCCCTTCAATGAAATGGTTACTCCAAAGTGATGGTGAAACAGATTTTAGCTGAAAGACAGCGAGAGACTCAGAAGGAACACAATTCAGAAGGAAAAGAAGCCGCCGTAACCAGTACTCGCACTTCCCTACATCAGAGGATTTTTGGAAAGAATAAGAAAAATTGTGTTCAGGTATAACATCAGAACCTGCTTCAGATCTGAAAACACTATCCGTGGCAGCCTCACGAAAACTAGGCCACCAATATTCACTTGCTATGATCGGAAATGACCCAACTTTCGATTTTTAAATGGGACATCCTATATATTTTCACTTATTCCGATCGAGAATGACATTCTAAATCCAACAGTACATCACTTGTCAATGTTTGACGAATAAAATCCCTNCATTCAAAAATCAAAAGTTGGGATCATTTCCGATCAAACCGGAAGTACGGCAAAGCAAGAAAATGTGTCAAAAAATGTAAATAAAACTATAATACACAACCCCCAAATTTCGTTTTTCTATCTCATATAATAAAAAAGTTATAGGAGTGAGCCACCGTAGAGGATCACTCTTCTCTGAAAGTGAATGGAGTAAGCCATATTCTTCAACATACAGAGAATGACTCCATAAATATGTGATTCTTACCGAATTCTAAACACTCATACTAAAATTTTACCAACCTCGTAAGGTTGTATCGATTAGAGGAAATCAAAAACAATCAATTTTCAACTAGAAAAATTAAAAATGAATAGGTTACTCACCTCTGCGAAGATAAATGTCACATAATTCAACAAAAGGAAGGTCATCCATAAGTTCATCCTGAAAATAATCCGACCTAGTTATCATTCGAATCGTTTAATAATAATTTCTTCATCGAGAAATGACAGATCTGTTCAAAAACTATCATTACTCAAAACTACTTTGACATATATAGTTTTTTTATTCAAAGTTCCCCTACTCTAATCTTTGCATGCGATAAAAAATGTTTTATATTGGGATATTTTGATACATTGAAGTTAATGTAGTAGTTTTTTTGAAGCTTGTTAGCTTGGTAGATAAAGAACAGTCAAACCTTCCAATTTACTCAAAATTCAAAATTTTACACAAACCTAATTTGATATTCATGTGGTAAAACCCATGATACAAATAATGAGCACTANTTAAGAGTCTGATTTGTAGAAAATTTTCCGTGGAAAGTTTCAAGCAGAGAAATCGACAGAGTGATAAAGCGACTTATTCAAGTTGACAAACTGCATTATTTTTGGTATGACGTCGTTCATAATCATAGAAGTAAAAACGTAGGGAATAAGCACTCAAATCGCCGAGTGACGACTTAAGTATGGTAAAGTTATGGTAAGATAAATCAAAGTTCGTCGTGATTCAGTATTCGTATAATTCACTTCTTTTGAAAGGGCATTCAACTTTCGGTTTTCAAAAATGAGGTCTCACGACTCACGTTTTGCTAGCCAACTTATCACGAGATCACTAAAACTAAAATTTACGGTATTTAAGTGTTTTTATATGTATGTTGAGTAATCTTTACTCAACGCTGCTCTATGAACAACGACACAACATCCTATTCTCAAGAATAAGGTAGAGTGAATTCTCAGAACTCAAAGACTGCATATACAGTGCGGTCCATATGTATGGAATAAATTCATTTTCAGCATCATTATGTATTATGTGAAAAAAACCTGAAACAGATCGATTTTTATCCTTAAATTGACAATTTACGGTATGAAAATATATCCTCCTCCAGCACCCCTTCTGAATTATAAGCACCCCCTCGAAAATTTTAATTAGTAAAGGGGGTCGTGTGGCACTTTGTTGGAAAGGGATTTCAGTCTTCTGTTCAGCAATATAAAGTTTTTTAAGTTTGGTGGAATCATAACTGAGAGAATTGATTTTTACAATTAAATTAAATGTTCAAAATGACCACCATTATTCACTTCTTGACAATCAGTAAATCTTCAT